CATGTGCCCAACTATAAAATAACCCATTTTAATGGAAAAAAAAAAAAACAGTGATACAATTTATGTGTAAGGTACAACAGAGCAGCAGTAACAGGTATTGAATCGAAATAGAGGCCATGTCTAAGGCATTCCTGTGCAGAGGAGCCAAGGAAGCTCCAGAGGGACCTTGGCTGCGATTTACAACATAAATAGCTGGACTTGAGTTACTTTTTGTAAATGACCATGTCGGAGCTGAGACTACAAGCTCAGTGGCATAGTGTTTGCACTATGGCCAGCTTGAAGCTTGGGCTCAGTCCCCAGTGGCTCAAGAATAATAGATAAACAGACAAACAAGTGCCCATTTTGTATTAAAGACAGAAATTCAAGATTAACCAGAAGTAGTCAACATAATTGCATAGCCAGGAGCTTGCCACTAGGATGGACCAAATGAGGCTCTTCTACAGCTGCAGCCAAGTGAACGTTCTTCTCATTTTACTGTTGTGTGACTAGAAGACTTTCCTCTGCAGCTCCTTAGTGCAACTCCTGAGCCAGCTCTTTTTATTTTATTTTATTTTTATTATTTTTTTTCTGAGCCAGTTCTTATTAGTCCCCTGACTCATGAATCCTAGTATGCCAAATCAACTAAAAATATCACTGTGCCCCAGTCTGCCCATTTTTTAAATCTGAGAAATTACTTTTGAAGGCAGGAATGGATAGTGAGAATGAACTTTAAATATGGTATAACTCAGAAACACTATTTATCTCTTTTGAGAGATGGTCTCTCACTGGCCTGGACCTCCAGGATAGGTTGGCCAGCCGCTGGGCAGCTGTCTGGCTCCATCTCCCCAGGATAACAATGATTTGTCCCACATTTACATTGCATTTCTTGGGTGTTATAAGTAACTTGAGATGATTTAAAGAACACAGAAAAATGTACAAAGGTTACATCCAAATACAATTATATATATATATAGATATATAGAGAGAGATTATTTTTTGAGACAGGGTTTCTCCCGGTAGCCTTGAGTGTCCTGGACTCACTTTATAGACCAAATACTATAATATTTTATATAAGAGATTTTTATATAAACATATAAAATGTTTTATAAAATATATATTATATAAAACATATTTTAATATTGTATTATAAAAGTATATATTTTATATTATAAAATATTGTAATATTTTATATGAGATTTACATCATATAATTTATATATAGCATTTATAAAAGACATTTCTGTGGTAGCTGAGGAAGATCTTGGAACCAATCAGTGAAAACCAAGGAACGACTATATGTCTGGTATATAAAATGTATACACATAAACATATACATTAAAATAAGATTAAGTGTTTTCAAATACATGATGGTGGAGGAAGAAGTAGGGAGCACAAGGTACTTGATGGGTGAAATGAATAAAACCCTTTACTTTTTGGAAAAAAATTCCTAGTAGGGTCCTGATAGAAATTCTTGAAGGGAAAAGCATCTAGACTTACTTTACATAGTTTCTGAGAAAGGATGACCAGACAATGTGAATGAGGAGGACCAGATCTGGAGGGAGAAATTGATGTGTGCTGGAGCAAGGTTGGGGTTGTTAGGTTTGGACCACCCAGCAAGAGCTCCATCCCTCAGTGGCTGAGTGTTCATGTGAATGGGATACTGGGACAGCTGACTAAAGGACACCCACAACAAAAACTATCGGTGGTCACCTGATAGGGAAAGGGTTTCCCCCTGAGAAAGCCATTCCTCCTGGGAAATCACAGATTGGAATCTAGTCTGCTGTTAAAGTAGAGAAAGACAAAACTGCTTACTTCAGGCTTGGGATCGTCAGCTCTATGTTGAAATTCTCCGCCACATGTATCTCCCAGACACACTCCGTGTCAGTGGGGTAGTTAGTGGGATACCAAGGACTGGAGAAGGAACCCGAGAGACTTGAAATTACACCTCCACATGAGTCACTTCCTTCTGTGAAAGCAGATGAGAGGTTTGTCGTTGAAATCTTCATGAATGCACTTGGCATTTTTCCAGATGCAGAATCCAGAATTACACCAAATTCTACAGTGGGAATCACACAATGGGAAGAGTTTCGGCTGAGCTAGGACAGCCATAGTTTGGCTGGCAGATGTAGGTATAAATGTAAGGGGGTGGCAGAAGGGCAAAATATATATGATTGACAAGCAGGACTCTAAAACTGAAAGTGAGACTAGGTGCATGTATATTAGGGAGCATCCAGGCTGACCTTCTTCGTGTGTAAGTTTGTGCAAGAACATGAACACATGTGTGCATGGGGTGGGTAGAGGCCAACCTCGTGTTATTTCTTTATGCTTCCCACCTTGTTCGTAGAGCTACGGTCTCTCATTGATCTGGAATGCACAGATTAAGATAGGCTGGCTTGCCAGTGAACCCCAAGAATCCACCCATCTTTGCCTCCCCAATATTGGTAAGACAGACATGCAGCGCTATGCTTAGCTTTTTTCGTGTGTGGGTTCTGGGGTTCACATGTAGGTCCTTTGTAGTTGCAACACAAGTGCTTTACCAAGTGAGCGTTCTCTCCTGTCCCCTAGACTGTATATCATTCTCTAATGGCCTTCCTAAACTCTTGGCACGAAAGCCAGCTCAACTCTTATTCTGCCTTTAATAATGAATTCAAAACCTTTTTTCTATATAGGTTTTAATTTTTCAGTCCATTTAAAAAACTATTCTAAAATATTATCTTCTCTTTGCAAGATTATCCCAGTAGGAGAATGAGCGGAGGGTAAAATAACTAAAATACAGTCAAGTTTACGATCTCATCTGTTCCCATAGGCATCTTGTAACTTCTGTCCTGCCTGGGCCGGTTCCTTTTCTGTCTCATTACATTGAAACACACAGGTCAGATGGTAGGAGAACTTCCTCAACCTCCCACCTGGGTCTCCCTCTTTGGTCAGATCTGATGTGAAGTTCAGCAGTGGATCCTAGCCATGTGCCCATCATTCCTGGTCCTTTGTCCAGAGTGTTGTTGGGTATCAATAGAATGAATGCTTGTTTGTTCTTTTCAATCTAATCTAAAGTCTCCCAGAAATAATTTTCTTTCGTACCTAGGTAGGAACAGTATGTTCTATCAATAAGTGTCTATCAGCTTCTGTTTCGGTACAGATGGTCCATCACTCTTGTGGTGGTCTGAATGAGAATGGCCCCCATAGGCTCATATATTTGAGTGCTTGGTTTGCAGTTGGTGGACTGTGTAGGAAGGATTAGAAGGTGTGGCCTTGTTAGGAAAGTGTCACTGGGGGTGGGCTTTGAAGTCTTAAAAGCACATACCATTTCCAGTTAACTCTCTCTCTCTCTCTCTCTCTGTGTGTGTGTGTGTGTGTGTGTGTGTGTGTGTGTGTGTCTGTCTGTCTTTCTGTCTCTCTCTCCAAATTGTGGATCAGATGTAAGCTCTTGGTTGCTAGTGCCATGCCTCGCCTACCTGCTGTCATATTCCTGACTGTGATGGTCATTATGGATTCACCCTCTGAAACTTGCAAGCATGATAAACCCTTTGCTCTCTAAGTTGCCTTGCTCATGGTGTCTCTTCACAGCAACAGAACAGTAACTAAGACAAAAGTTGGTTCCAGGGAATGAGGTATTGCTGTGACAGGCCTGGCCATGCTGTTTTTAGAGGAATGTGGAATATGTTGGGACTTTGGATTAGAGAAGTGGTTGTAAGTGGCGGCCCATCCTAGTAGAAGCTTGGAAAGACAGTAGTGTGAAGAGAAATGTGGGCTGTGGAGGTCCAGCTGAAAGGGTTTCAGAGGGAAACAATTATAGCAACTGAGCTACAGATGAGAGTCATATGATGTTTTGGCAAAGAATGTGGCTTTTTGCCCTTGTTCTAAGAATCTGCCTAAGGCTAAATTGAAGAGTTCTGGACTAATTTTGTCGGCCGAGAGTTCAGGATGGTCAATTACTGACTCTGCCCTCAGGCGGTAGGGACTTTCACTCTGGGACACAGTCTGGACTTGGGTTAGAATGGTCAAGAGACCTTACCAAGTTACCATTAAATGTGCTCTGGGTTTCTCAGCCCAGTATATGTAAATCCTGGATATGCCAGCAACCTTGTTGGGCCCTGAGACACCATCAGGTGCACTCCCGACTTTGGTGTTTGACTGAGGCCTTCACTGTAGGTAGATAGTAGTAACAATCGCTAGGTGGGGTTGGGAAGGGTTGAGGTGATGTTTTAGGAGCTAATGTCAGGGAAGAGAACAACTGAGAACCTATTCCTGAGAAACGAGGAAGCAGGAGGCAAGATCACAAAGGATCTAGAAGGAATCCTCAGCTTTAGTGACAGCCCTGGACAGGCTACCAGTGTGTTAACTGGCCTAGTTAAGTCAGGAGGTCCACAAGGGGACTGAGGTTTCCTTTCTTAGCAGCAGTGTGATCTTGTCCTGCTGGGAGGTTTTGCGATTGAACGCCTTTTGGTTTTCTCATTTGCCGGCGCCTCTTAGCCCATGTTCCTGTGAGCACCTTTTCTCTCCTCCGCATATCAGCTCTCTCCTCAGCCACAGTTTCCTTCCTTCTCCTTCCCCTTCCTGACTTGGGATCTAGTCACATTTGGAAAAAATGTCACAGTTCTTGTCTGAGCTACTGTTTTGTTGTATTACTATTGGGACAGAGCAGGAACTCTATGAGTAATTCTGGAAGGGCAGAACACAGAGTCATGTCTCATGATATGGCATCTCCAAATGCATGCATTACCGTGTTCCGCTTTGGTTCACCCCCTCCCACTGTGCTTCCTCATCCCACCTCCCCCCTGGTTCTCCCTCTCATAACCTCCTTCTTAATTTCACAGCTTATGATACACATATATAAACACACGTATCTCCCAACTACACATATCACAGTAGATTAATGTGCAGGGCATATAAAGAAGAACTGGTTTTAAATTTTCTGCTTCATATTAGAATCATATGGAAGCTTTATTATTACTGGCGACTAAGGTGCGACCAGTCTTGAGGATAGCGGAGGCACCGGGAATCTCCAAAGCTCCCTGTTGATTCTAGTGTGCAGCAGAATTGGAAATCACCACTCTGGTCACTGTCCACCAGTGTCGAGGTCAGACCCAGATTTCTCAACTTCGGAGACATGGAGTTTACAGCGCTGGACTCACCTGGGGGTGAAGGAGTCACCTCTGCATCTGCATGAATGGGAAATAAATGAGTTTAGGGAATTTCAATTAAATTCCATGGAGACAAAAAATTGTTAATTTTCCTAACATGGGCATGTCTCAGACAGACAGGCTTCGTGCTGTATAAACAAGCGTTTGAATATAGTTTTCCCTGGGAAAGCAGCTTTACATTCTGGGAAGATTCAGACAACAGGAGAAGGCAACGAAGTGTCCCTGGGAATCCGTCTTCAGAACAGCCAGGCTCAGCGTTCCCTGTCTACCTCGTTGGAGGGGTGTTGCTCTTGTCAATTTAGCAGTTCTACAATCACCTAAGAGACAAACCTCTGAGCTTGCTTAAGGAGTTTCTAGATTAGGTTACTGGGTGAAAAGACCCACTCTAAATGTTGGCAGCACTGTTTCATTGGCTGGGGTCCCAGACTGAACGAAAATCAGCAAGTTCAATGGCAGCATTCATCTCTCTATGCTTCCTGGCTTCAATACAATGTGGCCAGCTGCCTCAAGCCCCTTCCTCCATGACTTCTCTGCCAGGGTGGACTGCCCTTGGGATATGAGTCAAAATGAACCCTTCTTCCATAAGTTTCTTCTGTCAGGTATTTTGTTTACTACTATGAGAAAACTAATATTGGTCATTTTCAATAGAGTCACCTCCCTGTTCTGTTTACGGCTTCCATCCATAACTAAGATGCCTCACAGAACAAAGACATTGTAGGCGACAGAGTACCTGAGCAGATAACTCCAGCATCCTCGTTGTGGCCACAGTTGTGGTCTAGCCAGGCAGAGCTTGGGCACTGGCCAAAGTGGTTCTCCTTTCCTGAACACTGAAGGTTGTCCAGAAGGATATTTCCAGAGCCTGGGCCAAAGTAGGCGCTTCCGGGGGCAGCAATGGCATGGCCACACCCCAGCTGTCTGCACACGACCTCAGCTTCACTCAGGTCCCACAAGTCATCACACACGGTGCCCCAGGCCCCCTGGTGGAGTACCTCCACGCGTCCCGAGCACCGTCTGGAGCTGCCTGACAGCCGCAGCACTGGTCTGTCTTCTGAACAGAGGGAGATTTCATTTTTGAGCGTGGGGAGGTTTACATAGGAAGTGACTCCTAGTGGCTGCACCATGGCCGAGGCCAGCACAAACACAAACCCTTGAGGCTGTCTTGATTCCATATGAATCCCAAGGGTGATAGAGGAAAACAGAAACTGGACTTGAATATCATTCTACTATCTGCTACATGACAATTGCTTCATTTCTCTGATCTGATTCCTCATTTGAAAGTGTTTATCCCTGAGGCTTTTGGGATGAGTCAGTGAGAGCACACAGATCACACCCAGACAGGAACTTCTTTCCTCAGAGACAAACAAATCCAAACTTCAGACACTCATCTGTTTTTTGGCAGTCTCAAAGAATTATTGGAGTTCTTGCAGGGGGAACCTGAACATCAGAAATCCCACAACTGACAGGCAGTGTTCCTTGCAGGATACAAACTGAACCTCGCACTGCAATGGCTGGCTAAAAGGCCAGGGCTAACAGAAGTCCCCAAGCCTCCAGTCGGGGTGAGTCTATGGTTTAAGGCATGCTAGATGTGATTTGGGTTAGCATGAAGTAGGGAGTAGAATCTCCCGGAATGGTAGGCTTCCATTTTCAGAACTCTGGACAGTTCCCCAAACCCTTGTGATAGCAGATGCAGCCTGAAGACCCTTCCTAGAGCATGGCTCTTCCTGGTAGCTGCCTGGCCTTTATAACTATATAACTTTTATAGCTGGCCTTTGTAGCATTTTTATATGCAATATACATTACCATCTTACTATCACTTGTCTGGCCCTCATGGTTAAAACAATCTAACCCCTTGTGATGTACCACCTCTAGTGGGGGGGGGCATGGTTAAAACTGAACCAGGCTTTTGTAAATAGAAGACTCGTGTTAGAAATTGTTCTCTGTTATATGCCCAAAGCTACCTGAAGCTTCCTACCTGACTCCCTTCCATCTTGTGGAATTGCATTGAAAAAAGCATAAAAACCAGTGTTTGTTGTCATATAATCACTTCGGAAAACCACTGTCAAGATGTCTGAGGAGGAGAAAAATACCACAGCTGACGGAGCACAGAACTTTCCCATGGAGAGCGATGTAATTCTGGGGCCATCGAAGATCTCAATTGAGTCATAAGGACATCCAATGATATCTTCCAGGCTGGGGGATGAAAGCTGGGTATTAGTGGCACAGTAACAACAGCCTTCTTAGCAATGTCTCCAAACAGGACAATCTCAGAACATGAAGTAGTCATTAATCTTTCCCAATTACTTTATCAGAACTCTGTTTTCTTTGTCTGGGGAGTATATGAAGCTTATTATCACAACTTTATCATGAGGTTTAAAGTCATGGTGGTTCTGATCAGCCACAGAGATAATAGAGCTTAGGAACTTGTGGTTGCTGTTTGTTTGGATTTAAAGCAAGTCCAAATTGGCAGCCCTGACCCAGTCATGATTGGACCATGATTCAGTGCCTGACTGAGGCTGAAGTTTCATGGCGTCCCATGGTTTTGCTCTACTGCAGCACGATGTGTGCCACGTGACAGGAGAAGGTCCTTGTGGAGATGTTGCTGGAAGAAAACTTCTGGTGAGAAACTGGGGCTTTGACATCAGACAGACCTGCATCCACTGTCAGTGGGCAAGTTAGTTACTCTCCACGGTCTCATTTTCCTCCTCGCTAACGAGGATGACAAAAATGTCTGTAAGCGCTAATGCTGCTGGAGCATGACAAAGCCTAGAAGCACTTCGCCCAGAGGAAGTGCTGTGAGGAACAATAGCTCAGTTGGTAAAGTGCTTGTCATTAAAATGAAGACCTGAGTTTAATCCCCAGATCCCATGTGAAAATTCTGGTTGTGGTGGCCTACCCTACTTCAGGAGCTCAAGGCTAATGAGAGACTTTTCTTGAAGAACAAGGTGGACAGTGATGAGAAATGACACCTGAAATACCCTTTGATCTCCACATGAACTAGGTGTAGGCATGTACACATACACCTAGGAGAAGCATGTAGTTCAGAGTCTGGACACACAATCAGCATTTTTAAATGTCAGCTGTTACTTTATGGCAAGGCCACCAGAACATGGTGGCAGTGACTATGAGACACTGCTCTCTGTGTCAGAGGTGAATCTATGGCTCTTCCATCTCCTTAAACTTTGGGGAATTTTAGAAAATGCATAGCCCAAGCCTGGAAAAGTTTGCGTCTAAGGAGTCTCTTAAAGTTTGCATAAAATATAGACAAGCAGAAAGACTAGCCTGGAAGGACAAATATCGGTGCCTAGCATAAGGTCAAAGGTTTTGAACATTTAGGGAGTATTTTTAGAAATCAAAAGACAAATTATCAAAGCAGAGCTGTGTCAAATATGTTGATAAATGACTTGCTACATTTTTTTTTCCAGGTAGAAGAGACTTACTGGATACCACTACAAAATTAACTCAGACTTGGACTTGGAAATGCTGTACTGTTTTGTGGTTCCATGATTTTATCTCACTAAAGAAAATGTCTTTACCACAGCTGAACAAACCAATATTTTTATTCAGACCAAACTTTCTCTTTAAAACTAGTTTCTTACTTCAAATTTGGAATCATTAGTTCTATGCGGGAGTTTTTCTCCACATGAATCTCCCAAACACATTGGATGTCTGTTGGGTAGTTTTGTGGGTACTGTGGACTCGAAAATGAACCAGAGAGACTGGAAATGACTCCTCCACAAGAGTTGCTTTCTCCTGAAACACAAAAAACAGAATATCGTGTTGCAGCCACCTGCTCTCATTGAGTGATCTTAGGAATGACCAGCTCAGTGTGCTCACAACAGACAAGTGGTCCACGTGGCAGTTGGCCTTGGTGAACTGATATTTAGTTTAACATCTCTTGGGAGGCCATTCGATCGAATTCTGATGACTCAAAAGTATCACTGTGTGAGAATTCCCCATCTTTCCCTTTGTTCCCTCAATTTGCAAACAGCTGTTCCACTTAACCTCTATGCCTACTGTAGCTCTCCTTTCCAAACAGAAAGAATCTTCGCTTTCTGGGAGAAAGGCAAGGCTCTGCATCACAAGAGACTGGGGAGGAATGACACAGAGACAGGCTGTCCATCTTGTGTAAGGGGGAGCACTCTGTGGAGTGAGACCGCAAAAGAACTCTGGAGCCCAGTGAGCCAGGGAAGGGAAGGGATAGTGGGCACAGTTGGAAGCTTATGACTGGGCCCACCTCTCAGTACACTGTAAGCACTTTGCTGGATCGTGTTAGTTTCTTTTAACTTAGTGTGTTCAGACTGGATCTTTGTCTTCTTGTTTAACATTCATAAATGCCCAAATTTAAAAGTTCCAGTCTTCCATAGCCATTGCCATTTTAGCACAAATAGATATATAGTCCTACACAAGTATACAAGGCAGCATGCTCACTAAGAGAATAGATAAGTTAGAATCATCCAGTTATTCGGAGAGACTTGGAAAGCACAGCACAGTTCATTGATTTATACCTAAGCTTTATGAAGCTGCTTGATCTCCCTTCTTTTTACCACCATGACCACCTGTAATCTTCCCAGGATCCCGTGGATTTCTAATCTTCCCTAAGATGGATGTTGGGAGCAGATTCCAGATTCTGGTCATATTTGGGGATGGGAGGAAGCTGGAAACACATCCAAGGTGCTTCAGAAGTGCTCTCCACCACAGAGCCTGTTCCCCAGTCCTTTCGGTGAAGACAGAGTCTCATGAAGCCAGGGATGGCCTTGAACTCAAACCCTCTTGTCTGTACCTCTCAAGTGAGAAAATGACAGCTATATGCCACTATACTCCACTGATCACTCAGTGCTCCAAGACACACACATGTGGCAGGAGATTAACAACAAATATCTATGAGCATCTACTATGAGCTTAAACAAGGCAGGTTGAGTGTGGGTCAGATGGACTTGTAGAACTACATTCTACCATTTTGTTGACCTCTTGTCTGCTTTGTCCTGGGAAGGCCCATAGCCTTCCTTTCTCTCATGTGCCTCCTAACAAATAGTGAGTATTTACAGAGTGGCAGCAGAAGAGCAAGCCCCTCACCCACATGCCAGGGGCTTCTTTGAACTACCTCCATGGACATTGCCTAGAATCTGCTGACATGAAGTTTCCATTTCAAGTAAAGAAGTAACTACCTGTTGTTGGATCCTGAGAAATTAGAGGAGTACCTGGAAGGGAAAAAAGAAGATAATAGTGACATTCAGGGGTGGAATCTTTAGTCTTATCTACAAGCTAGTGGATGGTGAAGGGTTTTCTTAGAAACATCAATATATTTGGTGGCAACTTAGAAGAGTCTGAAGCTGCTGTGTGAATATTATCTATAGTTCTGTGGCTGACCAAAGCCAGCTAGTAATGCTTGGACATGCCTCTTATCAGATGAGGGCTAGGCTTCCCCCTCCCCTTGAACCTGAGTAGATTCTGTGACTGCTTTGAGCAATAGGATATAGCAGAATATATTCTGTGTCTTAAGGAACTATTGATATCTACTTCCTGTTTATGAGCATGATGCTTACTTAAACAGCCTCATGCCATCTCATCTTTAGAAGAGACTTAAGAGCCTTGAGACTTCCTGGAGAGCAAGAGGGCCATTTTCCCAGCTGCACCCATGAAGACACTGATCATGTACATGAAGCTATCCTGAGCTCTCCAAACCATAACTCAGGCAAATGATATTGAGACCCGAGTTTGATGCTCTGAGGTGCAGAAGAATCTTCCAGCCAAGCCCTGCCCCAATTCCTGACCTGTGAAACCATGGCATGTATCTAAATGTGTAGCTGTCTTAAACTACTAAAGTTTGAAGCAGCAATGAATAACCAAATAGCTCCTTCTTCATTCCTTTATCACCCATATAATTCATGTGAAGTGAGAAAATTACAGTCAAGCCTTCATTTGAATAGCTACTATTGGGTCAGAGATTTAGCTCAGTGGAAGAGTGCTTGCCTAGCAAGCACAAGACCCTGAGTCCAGTCCTCCAGTCTGAGAAATTAAGGAAATATCCACTCTTCTTGACTTGATTTTAACCATGGCCTTGTAGCTTTATACAGCACTTCTGCTCTGCTAAAGATCCCAACACATAAGCTGCTTCAGGAACCCAGCACTCATCAAGAGCTCCTCCGGGCAAATACCAGGAGAGACGCTTCTTTCAATGACTTGTGACTTATGTGCTCTCTGCAGCTGGAGAGATAGTCCAGGTACATTCAAAGGGTAAGTTCCAATTTTCCCTCAAGCTGTATTTTCCAAAATGTCTGACCACCGTGCTGGAGTGACAATGTGAAGAGGTGCTAGGAGCACAGGGAAAGGAAGGGAGTGCTTTCTCTAAGATGCCCTGATAGAGTTACATGGGCATACTTTGGATCTCCCTTATCCTTAATCATATGGATTAATAATCAATGTATCAGGGGTGCTTGCATCATATCTTCCAATATATTGGGCAGAGGTTGCAGTGAAAAGAAATATTACATTCACTTCCAGTGTAATTCCAGAATTTATAGTGTATGTGTTAGTCTGATTTTTCTAATACCTGATATATGTATATATATATATATATATATATATATATATATATATATATATATATAATCAATGTAAAAACTTGGTTCTTCTATTAATTTGTTAATGATAAAAATTGCTTAACCTTTCCTAAATCTCCCTTCTGAAAACATAGCATATATGTCTTTTAAAGAATTGTCTTGGTGATGAACAATAACCTGAGCAAACTACTATATCAAAGATTCCCATCTGAGTGCCCTGGGCCAATGTGTGTATGGCAAGTGACAGTAGCGGTCAAGTGCTCTGGCCAACACCCTCTGGATATTCAAGAGTGCCCTGCTAAACGTCTGTGTATCTGGAGAATGCAAATAATCAAAGCAGCTTCCTAAAGAGAACCAAAACGTGGAGAGGGTCTCTGATTTATGAAGCGCCGACATACAGCTTTTCATAAAGGAGAAACTGTCCTTCAGGTTTTGAATTTGGATCTTTTGCTAGGGTCACGTGTGTGGTATGATTCTCCCTTGAGATGCTGGACCACCACAGGGAGCTCCCAGGCACCAGAGACGGCAAGAATGTATAGTAGGTGCTCTCAGTGTGCTGTTGCTGAGCCAGGAAACTCAGAAGATTAGGTATGTGACACGCATTCTTCGACTTATGGCATTTTTATAGTGGGCTTTTTGAGATATACCTCCATCATGATTGAGGAATGTCCGTCTATACATGTATGAAGAGCTCAGAATAATGCCTGGCTCCCAGCATTAAAAAAAAAAAAAAAAAAGTATTTGGTACCATTGTCACAGTTTTTCTTCTTGAATGGGAGGTTTCTTTAGCTAGGAGAGCAGTAGACAGACGTACCTGGTGGCATGAGTGGAGGGGCGCCATCTGAATCTGCACACACAAAGAAAAGCAACAGGTCATTCTCTTTGGAGAGTTCAAAGGGTGGAAGGTGAAGCGACAAGAGGTGGGTGATGAATAAAAGGGACAGGCCCATGACCTTTCTGGGTACAGAAACCAGCTACTAGAACTGGTTGGTCACCCTCATCCAAGGGGAGTTCTTGCCTTAGAAGCCTTAGCCCAGCCACTGGGTAGACTGTGTCTCAAGGCGGGCAGGGCGAAGTTACTCTCTGTACCCCTATGCAGAATTCCTGGGGGCTCTTTACATGTAGAGCCCTGAGCTTCTTTCCATACCAACTCAGTGATAGCTTCTTGGGAGAGCGAGCAACCCTGGAATCTTCACTGTAATACTCCAGAGTGATGCCCATAGATAGCTTAGACTTCCCACAGCCACCAAGAGCTACTCATGACAGGATAGGTGTCTGAGCCCCTGGGGATTGCTTAAAGAACCAAATGGATGGATGGATAGAAAATTTCACCCATAAAAGATAGTTTCAAAATGTCTTCAGTTGCATAGAAAGAAAATGAATACCTGAGCAGATAACACCAGCGTCTTCGTGGTGGCCACAGTTGTGTTCCGACCATCCCGAATGTGGACATTGGCCAAGGTAATGTTCCATCCCAGAACACTGAAGGTTGTCCAGGAAGATGTCTCCTGAGCCTGGGCCGAAGTAAGCCTCGCCGAGACTAGAAACAGCCTGGCCACACTCTAGCTGGCGGCACACAACCTCAGCTTCGTTTGAACCCCATAGGTCATCACATACAGTGCCCCAGACTCCCTGGTAGAGGATCTCCACTCGTCCTGAGCACCGACTGGGGCCACCCACCAGGCGAAGCTGTGGCCAGTTCCCTGCAGACAGAGATATGGTGTGAGTCCCCAGAACTTTCACCTGGAATCCAGAAGTACCAGGTTCAGAGGAAGGTTGGGGTGGGACAATGATCCCCATGTTTACTGTGGGTTTCTGAGTTGCAGTTTGGTGGGGGGAGGGGTGCAACAAATTTTGTTTCCATGTTAGCCACTGGTGGCATAGCCATAGACCCTTAGGGAAACTGAGTCTATTTACTAGTAAAATATATACATCAGTATAATGTATTCTTCCACCGTATGGAAAATACAATAAAAGGAAGGGCAAGATGTTAAAAGGTAATGACAGAGAAGAAGATCCTGGCAGACACCTCTTAGAAATGTGAAAAGGAGCCAGCCAGTGGAAGAGCCAAAAGAAAATCCCTTGGAGCAGAGAGAAAAGCACAGGCAAGAAGCCCTAAGGAACCATATCACTTCCCTATGTACCTTTAAAGTTGGTGTTAGGATAGTGAGGGAAATGTTCAAATACTTAGCCCATTTTTAAGATAATACATGAATGCTTTACAAAGGGTATGCAAAAATATAAAATGAGGAATACACATATGAACACACATGCATATACACACAACACATCACATGTGAAGAACCAAAAAAGAATTCCAGCCAGACTATCTCATGACTTTGTAGTTTGAAAAAGGAGTGAACTCAGAGATGAAAGGTCAAATAGCTCAAGGAGCAAGTCAAAGGCAGCCGACATTTAACTCCACCTATAAAAGGTACCACTGACCTGGAGGGTCTGACAGAGGTTTTTCAGCATCTGTAAGTAAGAAAAGCAAATAGGTTGGCATTTGGGGGAACTCCAGGCTTTAATAATAGAAGAAGTTTAATTATACTCTCATACGTATTTATTAATTAATTATCAACCCCTTTAAAGAACATGACACCAGAAAAAACAAATTCATCATTAGGTCGAAAATAAGCTTCCCTCTGGGGCGTTAGCTTGTTAGAACAATGTGAGAAGATGGTTATGGTTTGAACAGTGTCTGCGCCCAGGAGCTTGAGTGTATTTACTAGTGAAATATGTACATTAGTAACATGTATTATTTCGCATGGGCAGCAGTGTGGACCACACACCCATTCTAATGACAGTGACTGATTCATTGACGTCACACCTGGGATGGCATCTCTTTGCTTAAAGACATCGAGTTGTCAGGCAGGGCTAGCTGTAAGCATTCCAGAGGGAACCTAATTATTCACAACTACTCGTACATAAATCAGGGTATTTAAAAAAAAAAAAAACTGTCACAGCTACTTAAAATTGGTCACCTCCTAACATTTTCTCCATGTCATGACTAAGGAGAACGGTGAGATGAGCAGGTCTTTGTCAGGTAGTAAGTCAGTGCGTTGGCAAAAACATCTTTGCTTCAAAACAGCCGTCAGTCTCATAGTTTCCAAAGTGAAGAGACTGAGGCTCTGAAAACTTAGATGCTGCACAGATGTAGTCTGGAAGTTTCACTGCAGCTCTGAGAGCCAGCCCCAAACTGCCCTGGCCTTCGAGCAACAGGCTGCCCTGGCCTCCCTGAAGCAGGCTTCCTCCTTCACTGTCCACCGTTATTTCAGCTCCCAAACACTCTCCATATTCACACACATTCTCTGCGTGTTTCAGCAAAGCAGGCATTGCTACTGATAACTGCCAAAAGAGAAGCTTAGAAAGCATACCTGAGCAGATGACACCAGCATCTTCGTGGTGGCCACAGTTGTGGTCTGACCAGCCAGAATGGGCACACTGGCCAAGGAAGTGCTCCACCCCAGCACACTGGAGGTTGTCTAGGAAGATATCTCCCGATCCAGGGCCAAAGTAGGCCTTGCCGAGGGCAGACACACCCTGACCGCACCCCAGCTGTCTGCACACAACCTCAGCTTCATTCAGGTCCCACAGGTCATCACACACAGTGCCCCAGACTCCCCGGTAAAGGATCTCCACACGCCCTGCACACCGACTGGAGCCACCCACTAGCCGCAGCTCCGGCCAGTCCCCTGCAGACAGAGACCTGGTGACGGCTGTGATCTGGGAGCATGACACTTTCCCATGAGATGGTTGAGCTGCCCTCTCCTATATTCTATTAGATGAAGAAAACCTACTAGGTTCAGCCAACTAGTCAACTCCGACTGGAGTGTGATAAGTCCCAGAGGGATTGTCAATAGCATCTAGCTCATACGAAAATCCACATGTCTGAAGCATGCACAAATCTGTTTGGGCTAAATGCAGAAAAAAAAAATTAAAGTTGGACAAAACTTTGTGATTTTTGTGAGAAGCTTTCAAATGTCACTTTTATGGTAGTTCTACTCACGGTGACCAACGGGTATATCTATTCAAGACCCTCCCCACTCCTGCCTCAGAAGTGCCTTCCTCTTTTTCTGCTGCTCTAGTTCATTGCTCTAAGCTTCTGCCCATTTTGGAAACATCAATTAGCGACCAAGATGGGGAGGCTAACTGTACCTGGGCCAGGAAGACGTGAGAGACTCCCATTGGGGGAATTTGTAGGCTGTGTAGGCTTTGAGATTTCTGAAAGGCACAAAAACGAAACAAAACAACAGTAGCAACAGCAACGCAACCTGTTTACTCAGCATGTGAGAGCCAGAAGATTGTATGGGTTTGGAATGGTCCCAAGTCCTAGGGCAGAGTCAGTTGATCCGCTTGCAAACACATGGACTGTATGTAGTTCTAGCACCCCTACACACGAAGCAGGTACAGACATGGGTGCTGAGAGAAAGGGACGCTCAGTACTCAAATGGGCGGCTTCTGAGACTTACTTGGTCTTTCTGTTACCATCTTGGAAGTTGCTGTGGGGATGGCTGTGGAGACAAGATGAAAGCTTGAAGGAGGACTTAGGGAGAAGGGGAAGCACCCTTAGATAAGCCTTTGTTAAAAACCCAGGTCCCCACTGATTCTCTCTGTCGCTTCTATAATAAGGGGTGTCCTAAGTCAAACCCTCTCTTTATGGATCTCATGTTACTGGGAAGTAATGGAAGCCAACTGGAATGACACATCCCTCTGCCTCCTCACCAAAAATAAAACTAGTTAATTTGTGCTAAAATAGAAACACTCAGAGACTGTGTCCTTTCGGGAGAAACACACACACACATGCATGTACACTTACATACACTCACACACCTTTATACTTGCTTCTTACGACGGTCAGTCTTAATTTAAACTCAGTTTTTACTGTAGTCATCTTTCCACCCCCTCAGCTCTGTTCCTAGATATTTTTTGAAGCTATTTTGAATGGGGGTGTTTCCATGATCTCTTTCTCAGCATTTTTTTATTTCTCATATATATATTTATATATATTTCGAAAGATGGCTCAGTCGTTAAGAGCAGTGTCTCTTCTTCCAGATGAACTGAGTTCAGCACCCACATGGCAGTTCACAACTGTCTGTAATCCAGCTCCAAGGGATTTGACACCCTCACACAAACATACATGCAGGCAAAACACCAATGCACATAAAATAAAAATAAATAAATCATTTAAAAAAGAAGTATTTATATGTGACTTTCATAAGTTTATTTTATATGTGTCACTTCACTAAAAATCTTAATCATTTCTAGAAGTTTCTTGTGGACACTTTTGGAATCTCATGTTTGATGTGAAAACAGCTGAGAACAGGGATATTTTGACCTCCTTTTTTAAATATTTGTATTTCTGTAATCCCCTTCTCTTGTCTTATTGCTCTAGTTAGTGCTTCAGGAGGTTGGGGGGGGGTCCTGGACATCCCAGTCTCACTCCTGATTTTAATGGAATTGTCTAAAGATTTCTTCCATTTAGGATGATGTTGGGTGTGGGTTTGTAATATATAACCTTTGTTATGTTAAGGTGTGCTTCCTTCCTTTAGACTTACTGTCTCCGGGACTTTTATCATGAGGGTCTATTAAATTTTGCCAAATGTTTTTCCTGCATCTACTGAGAGGACCATGTGACTTTTGTCTATAAGTCCACTTATATGGTTTGTTACATTTATGACTGACTAACATATGCTGCATCCTTGCATCTCTAGTGCAAAACCAACTTTATGATGGTGGACGATCTTTCAGATAGATGCCTCTGTTCAGTTGCTAGCATTCTATTGCGAATTGTTATATCTTTGTTCTTTGGAGTTACTGCCCTGTGGTTTCCTTTTTGGTGTGTGTGTGTGTGTGTGTGTGTGTGTGTGTGTGTGTGTGTGTGTG